ACAGTCCCAGCCCGGCAGACAGAAGGGCTCTTTCTCCCTAATTCTGGTCCATTGTGAGTGTCCTGGGAGGGAAACCGAGGGCCTGCGCGTCCTGCTCTCCTTGCTTCCCTGCAGCCGTCCTGAGAGAAGCTGTTGCCAGTGGGGTCTTTTAAGAAGCAGATGAAGTGGGGACCCCAGCCCGCTCCCTCGCCATCTGTGTTCTCCGTCCCTGAGGAGACGTGTCCAGAGTCTTGACTCCACTTCCTGCCCCACAGTCCCTTCCCAGGGAAGCCACCCTTCATGGCCCCAGCAGAGGCGCCTGGGCATCCCCATCTCGTAGGAGCCTGGCTTCCTGTCCTCCGTGTCCCCTCGCGTTCTGCCCTTCTGAACAACTCCCATGGTCTCGGTTGTGTGGCCTTTGTTGGTGGCCTGTAGAAAGAGCTCGCCCTAGAAGTGCGCAGGGACCCTGTCCTACCTGAGCCCTCGTGCGGACGCCTTCAGGTGGGCTCGGTGAGAGGACGCGCTGTGGTGTGAATGTTTAAGAACAAAACAGGAGGCCTTGATCTGTCTCATTAGGTCACTGGAACTCGGTCTCAGAGGAAGTGGGCCTGGGTGGGACCGGGGCGGGCCCCCATCCCTGTGGTGCCCTTGGCCTCAGTGAGCAGAGCAGGCCGCAGACTTGGTGCTGGGGTCAGCCTTGGCTGTCTGTGGTAGCTGCGGCCTTCTGAAACCACGGGAGCCTGTTTCCCGGCTTGAACACTGTCCCCAGCCCTCCGCCCTTCACTCCGAGGTCTTTGGAGGTGTTTGGGTCACCCTCCTCCTCCGCCGATGAGAGGCCGCAGGATGGCTCGGCTCCCGGCCCTTCTGTCTGGCTGGGCTGCTACCCCGCCCAGTTGTTTCTGGGGGAGACCCCACCCTTCCCCACGTGGTCGCTGGCTTCCTGGGTGAGGGGGCCACCACCCGGCTAGGGCTGGCCGGTGGGGCGGTGGGTGGTCAGGCTCCAGGCCTGGTCCCTCAGGGCAGGGATATCACCAGGATGTAGGCCTGGCTGCTCGGCGAGAGCCTTGGCGCCCTGAGCCCAGGCCAGTGTCCTCCCTTGCGGGACGGGGGCGGGGAGCCTGTCCGGGGACTCTGAGGCAGGCCCTGGGGGCTTGGCGCATTGGCCGGTTTGCCTGTTCTGAAGAATTCTGAAGTTCAGGGCGGTGTCTGGCTAGACGGCGGGCCGTCTGGAGTCGGTGGTCTGCGGGATGCTGCTGCGTTCCCTCTGCTGGTGCTCTCAAGACAGCAGAGCCTTGGTGACAAAGCCGGTGTGGTCTGAACGGTCCCCCGGGGCCCCTGGCCAAGGCCTCTGTGACGCACACCGCCCTGGCTCTCCTCCGGGTCCCTCTGGGCCAGAGCCCACCTGAGCCTGTCGGGACCCACACAGCCACCTCCCCAGCCGGGAGCAGCTTGTCCCCTGCCTGGTGCCCGGCTCCCACCACCTGGCGGTGACTGCACCTCTGGATAGGAGGGGGCTGGATCCCCTCGGAGACCTGGGTCCCAGCTTGCTGGCGTGTGAGAGGGACACGTGCGTTTTGCAGAGTGTGCTGTTTGTTTCCCAGGGAGAATCCACATCGTTCGTGGGCCCGTTCTGGTGTCTCTGGCCTTCTGCGCGGGTCCGAGCCCCGAGCTGTGGGGCCGCCCACTGGGCTCCCCCAGGCCCCGTCCAGCGCGCGCTCCTCTCTGCTGCTGTGTGGGCCGCTTTCAGCCGGAGCGCCTGGGCCTTACCAGCGACGGCTCTGCGGGTCCTTGGCCACCTCCCTGCCACAGCCCGGAAGTGGAGGCGGCCCTGTGGCCCGGCAGCGCCCCCTGCGCTAGGCTTGTTGTGTCGGTTTCTATGGGGAGGAAAACAAGGCGGGCGCTGCACGGGGTGGGGGGGCGGGGAGGCCCAGGCGCTGAGGAAGCAAAACGGAGCGGGCGGGCGTGTGGGCGGGGCCGGCCTCGCATTTCCACTTCCTGGCTGGGAAGGTGAAAGTGCTCGGTCCCTCCAGGGGCCCTGAAGGCCGGGATCAGCTCACAGGGGCAGCGCGCGCTCAGCCCGTCCTCCGCAGTCCGGCTGCCTTTGCCGCCTGCCCTGGGGGGACCAGCCGGGCGGGGAGACCTGCCCTGGGGTGGGGGGAGACTTGAGGCAGCTGCAGGATGGAGGGCCCCCACCCGGGAACCCCTGTCCTGGCGGGACTGTCCAGCCAGGTGGAAAGTCGCATGAGGTCTGGGGCCTTGGTGCGCCGCATGCTATGCAGGCAGGGGTCTGGCTTCCTTTCTGTGCGTCCCCTGAGATCCTTCTCCCTCCCAGCCTCTGCCTCCTCGCTTGGCTCTGGGTCACCCTGCTTGGCTCAGGGCCATTTGCATGTGTGGGTGTAACAGCCAGTGTGAAGGTGAGGGGCCCAAGGCTGTGTCACCCTGCTCACCGCCGCTCCAGGGCCCAGGTCCCCTCCCTGCTGGGGGCAGCCCATTGGGAGCACGACCCGCAGGGAGGCAGGGTCTCCTTCAGAACCGAACTCTTGCTGCGGAGACTCTCCCCTTCCAATCCCTTCAGCCTCAGGAGGTCTGGTGGGGGCGAGGTGGGCGTGACCCTCCTCTGGGGCCTGTCGTCGTGACAGGGTCCCCTGGCTGGAGGGCGGGGTCGGTGCTCAGGGCATAGTGTGGAGGTGGCCGGTGTAGAGAGGGCAGTGGGAGGATGACGTACACGCTTTTCTTTACGAACACACCCCCAAATTAGGCCTTCCTGATGATAAAAAGAATTAAGAAACGATTTCACTTTTAGTTTGAATTAGGAGCACAGAAACCTTCTTTGATCTTGCTGATGTGTAGTTTTATTTCTTTGTGGACCTACCACAATGTTCTTGAATCTTGGGCAGTTTGATGAGCGTGTTGAGCTCGGGCTCCCATTCAGAGATGGTGGGGAGTGGTGTTCCGGAAACACGGCCTTCCGGGGAGCCAAGCGGGGGCCAGGTGGGTGGGTGTGGCCCCTGCTCCCTGGGCCCTGCGGCTTGGCTTGGCTGAGCCCTCTCTCCAGTGATTTCCGTCTTCTCTGACGTCAGCTGGTTTTCCGTGCATTTGCAGGTGCCAACAAGTGGGCTTAAGACTCTTCTTCGAAAGATATTGTTCTCAGGTTAGAAAATGGCCTTCCAGGGTCCCCCCATCTGGTGTGAGGGGCCGTCCGGCTGCGAGGCTCTGGGCTAGGAGGTCTCTTGGGGGACACTCAAAGGTGCGGCGGGTCAGCTGGAGTCTGCCTGCTGTGGGTAGCTTTTGCCCAGGTTCCTCCGGGACCACGTGTGGCCGTGGCTGAGGTCAAGGCATGTGCCGGGCCCTGGGTCTGCGAGGCAGGAGGAAAGTGCGACAGCCACTGAAATGCAGACGTTTCTCTTTCTCGCAGTCCTTCAACTTGTCACGATGGTTTTTATTGCTATTTAATGGCATTTGAGTAAGAAAAAATAGAAAATTTAAGTTCCTGCCCCAGGTTGTCCTGTTCACGTCTGTGTGGCGCACACGCAGCAGCCTCTCGTTGGGACGCAGGACGCGGGGTCACAGTTTGCGTTTTGTGCCTGGGACATGCGTCTGTGCTTCCTCCTTACCCAGAGCAGTGGAAACGCAGCACAGAGCTGACTCGGCTGTTCCTCGGTCACTTCCTGTGACCCGAGCGCTCCGCGGGTCCCCTCCCGGGGTCAGGCTGACAGAAGAGAACGGTGCCCCAGTCCCCGCACACGTTCAGCTGGGCAGAGAGCTCAGTTCGGGCCCTGGGCAGGGGAGCCTTGGCCTCCTGGGTGGGGGCACCCGGCTGGCTCTGGGGCCTCACTCCCCCGCTTTACCTTCCTCGAGTCTCTGGCTCCATGCGCGCCCCATAGTCCTCCAGCGTCACTTACAAATAACGTTTTCTCGAAGATGAGATTATCAAGAATTCTGGGACGGCGACGGCAGAGCATTGAGCCCGGCGCGCCCGGCGCAGCCACGGAGCCACCCTGGGGAGTATCTTCCTTTTAGATGAAAAAGTCAGTGAGCTGAGGCCCCGCTTGCGAGCGCCCAGAAGGCAGGCTCCTCACACCCCCTTTCCCAGCCTCGGGGCTCAGATGGCCTACAGGGGTTTCTCAGCTCCTCGTGCGAGTCTTAGGCTCTGGGGGGCCTGGCACGCTTTCCTGTTCTGTGTGGAGACAGATTGCGTGTCCTCTCACGAATGGACGCCGCTTGGGGATATTTTTATTTTGATTTTGAAGACTGGAAAGTGTTGGTCCTTTGCAGGAAAAGTTCCCTGGCCGGGGACGAAGGGGCATGTCCCAGTGTGGGCAGCCTGGGCTCCTTGCCCGCAGGCCCTGCCTTGGGGTGGGATGCTGGGTCTGCTGCGCATGGCGGGCTTCAGGAGGGGCCTCTGGCCTGCGTGGGTGTGGGCCGCCGGCCTCCTCCTCGCGGGGCCCACTGAGATGAGTGGAGATGCCTCACCCCTCTCTCCCGCTACCTTTCTGGAAGCCTCTGTTCTTGGTGGTTCTGTAGGGTGGATTGCCTGAAGTGGAGGTGCGGTTGGGGGGAGCCCGAAGGCTGCCGTTGCCCTCGTGCGTCTCCCAGGGCGCTCGGATCGGAAGGCGTGGGGCTGGGCCCTGTGGGTCTTCCAGCTTCCCCCGAGGGGCCTTCCCCGCCATCGCTGGGGCCAGCAGTGGCTCGTCTGTGCTTCGATGGGGTCGGGGGCACGGCAGGGCCCTCGGGACTCCTGATAGCCGGCCAGGCTCTGGGACCCGGAGGGCTCGGGTTTGGAGCTCTTGGTCCTCCAGGTGCCCCCAGACTCCTGGCACCCTGGGCGCCGTGTCACACGCACGCGGACGCCAGTGGCCCTGCCGTGCTGCGGTACCTCTGCCGCCTCCTCCAGGATGCCAGCCGCCAGGCCTCTCTTCCTCCTCCTCCTCCCCCTTCCTGGGCCCCCACGCTGGCCCTCCCGCGGCGCTGTCATAGCTGAGCTGTTATGCATAATTCATCGGGGGCGCTGGGCCTTGGAGCCTTTGTGCGTGGGAAGAGGGGCTGAGCGGTGGGAGGCTTCTTTGCAAGGAGGCTTGGCAGGCTTGGGCTTGCTGGCTCTCTGGGCCCAGCTGCTCCTCCTTCAGGAATGGGTGATGGGGTGTGGCGGCACCCAGAGAGGTGTGTGGCCGGTGACACAAGCCTTGTGTGGGGTCAGTGTCCCCGGGTGTCCCCAGTGCTCCGCCGCTTCTCGTGGTCCTGTCTGCCTGCTGGTTCCGTCCTCTGAGCCGAAACACCTCTGCTGTGCCCCTGGCCAAGGCTCCGGGACTGCACCCGCGTCCCAGACGTGGGGCTGGTGGCGGACTGCGAGTTTCAAGGAGTGGGAAGGCCTTTTACTGGAAGGCGGCCAGAGCCAGGAGGCCCAGGTCCTGGAGGCCTGTGGGTGTGGTTCCCCGCTGGGCGGGCATCTGGGCTGGTTCTGGGAGGGGAGTGGGGAGGTCTCTCTTCCCAGGGCCACAGTGACCCCGCCCCTGCCAGCCCCACTGGATTTGTGGTAACAAAGAAGTTTCTTTTGACACTTTGCTCAGTGAAAGACCCCCTAGGCCCCTGGGGTTGGGGCAGAGCTGACAGGACTCCTCTCATTTCAGACCACGTCACCCCACACCCCATATCGACTTCCAAAGTACGCCCTCACCCGGTGCCTTTTCTCTGAGGCCTTCCACCTCTGACAGGTGACCGGTCACATGCATGCGCACACCCCACGTGCCCACACGTGCACACACACGTGAGACCGCACGAGCTCCAGTCCTTGTCCTTACTCTGAGCACAAGGTCAGGGGATGGGGGCATGTGGGAGGGACCTGGAGGTTTGAGGAGGGCAGCTGAGGGGCTTCCTTGGGTCCCCACCCTCAGCAGGGTGTATAGATCCCCAAAGGGCGGACGGTCACTGGGACATGCCGGCAGGCTCTGTCCATGTGGGAGGCGCTGGAGACCCTACAGAGGTGGGGAGAAGGCTGGCACCGCAGGAGCCGGGCACCTCCTGAGGGCAGGTGCAGGAGGCAAGTGCAGGGGGCGGCGGGGGTCAGGGGGCGGGAAGCAGGTGGCCGCTGCCTGGCGCCTTGCTCTGAGTGCCGTGTGCCGTGTATTTCTGCACGAGATGAGCGGAAACTCCAGGCTCTTGCTTGTGCGTCAGAGGGGGAGCCTGGCCCAGGGCGACAGGTGTCGTGGTCGGCTGGGGCGTCCGCGGGAACATTATCAGTCAGTTGCCGGCCATGCTGCCCGCGGCCCGCCCTCTGAAGTGCAGCGCCCCTTCCCGGACTGGGTCTGTTAGAGCCTCTGAGTTGCCAGTTCTTTGTGTGGAGGCTTGTGAGGGAGGAGGGGTGGCCATCCTTTCAGAGGGGACTTCGTGGGGCGAGGGCCTGCTGTCCGGTTCTCGACCGGCCAGCTGTCCGGAGTGGAACCACAGTGGCCCTCGCTCTTGTGCAGTGGTGGCTCTGACACCGGTTGGGCGGAAGGCGCGGCTGTCATCTCTGGCTGGGGCTGGAATCGAGCCGTGACAGCCAGGCAACCAGGGAACCTTCTGCTCCCCACTTCTCCAGAACACAAGACTCCCACCAATTTTCCAAACAGCTTCATTGTCCTTGGAGTTCTCTTTCGTTGTTTTCGTGCTTTTCGCAGTTACTTTCTGGTGACTGTCAAAGAAGGGAGGATCCTGTTCCACCCCACCTTGTCCCTTTGGGGACTTCCCACACATTTCCTGATGCTAAAAGTGAGGTTTTGCAGGGGCACAGGACACCGTGGTATCCGGAGGGCTGCTGGCGAGTCCATGGGACAGGGTCAGGGCGGACATCCAGTGTCTGCATCGAAACCCATTCTCAGTCTTGGGTCCAGTGGACACCTCTGATCGGGGCCCCAGACCCCCTGGCCCAGTGGAGGTGAGCCTCTCCCTCCCCTCGTGAGGGTGGCTGGGCCACAGGAGTCATGTTTGTGAGTCTGCAGAAGGGTGAGGGGTGGGTCACCCCAACCCTCTCCCTCCCAGCCTCTGCGTTTGAGAGGGCTTCTTTGTGTTTGGACAGACGGGCGGGTAGGTGACCTCCGTGCCCAGTGGTGCCTCCAGCTCCAGGGGCTTCTCCTTCTGGGAGCTCAAGCCCAAAGTGTCCTGCCACCGTGGTGTGCAGGCCTGGGTTGGCCAAGGTCTTGGAGGTCCTGGGGGAAGGAAGGTGCTAACTGGAGCTGAGAGTGTCCGGGCCCTGGCTTGGGAGCACCATCTGGCTGTCATGAGCGCTGCTTCTTGGGCAAGGGGGCGCGAGACCCAGCAGTCCCTGACGGGCTGTCCTCAGAGGAGACTCGACTTACTCTCAACAGTGTGGAAGTAACTGAAAGGATGACCTACTTAAGTTTTTTTTAAAGATTAAGGTGGATCTTTAAAATTGCTATTTTCACTTCATTTTGGGGTTTGGAGTTGTCTTGCAAATTTAATCTGCTTCCTCTGAACCACAATAATCAGAAATAGGTTAATTTAAGCATAATATGAAACATGAATTATCCTGTGGAAAATATTAATGGTACTTATAAAAATAGCTGTGCAGTTTCTAGAACTGTAAAATCTTCAGGAATGGTCCGTAATGCGGGTCTTGGGGCTGGTTTAGGGTGGCTTTGAGGTGGGGGGTTTGAGTTTACCTGTAGGAGACAGTTGGACTCGGTCACAAAGCACCTAGCATCCCCAGTTAGAGACACTGGGGACTGGAGTCCTTGCCCCTGCTGGAGCCGCACAGAGTCTCAGTCTGGGTAGGAAGGAGGACGCCATTTGTGCCTTCCTGCCGGGCCTCTCCCCAGACTCCCTGCCCCAGGAGCTGCCCCTGCCTGCCGTCCAGGGCCTAGCACCTCACAGCTCGGGGAGGGGCCGTGTTCAAGCCGCCTGGGCTCTGTGCTCACCCACGTGGTCCCGCATCCTTGTGCTCAGGGACGCGCAGACCCGGTCTGGGCCGGCAGGAAGGAAGCCCCTGCCGCCGTGTGGGGCCAACCTTCCAGGTGCTTTCAGGCCCCGGCTCCTGCTGCGGGCCCCACGTCAGTGGGGATTTGCTCCGTCTGACACTGAAGCTGAGACTTTGTGGCCCGAGAAACAGGGCACACACTCGAATGTGTCAGTGCAAGTGACATGGCATGATGGTGTTGACCTTTGAACCTGAGAGGTCAAGCTGCCATTCTAGTCTCTCCTCGGCCTCATCTCTGAAACCTGAAGGCTTGCCTCTCACCAAATCCAGAAGACTCTTGGCCACTGTCTTCCTGCTCTCTCCTTCTGGACTGCCTCCTCTCCTCTTTCACGTCTGTTACCCTCTTTCATGTGTTCATCTCGTTTTCCTCTGCACTGCGCTTGAATAATTTCCTTGAGAACTACTTTTATTCTGGAAAGTTCTGCTTTTTTTTCCAATCTGCGTGATCTTTTTTGATGTCTTATTCTTTTCTCACATTTTTTTCTGTGTATGTTTACTCATTTTGAGCTAGGTCTGTTCTAGCATTTCTACCCGTTGCTCTGTTGATGAGGCCGTGCTGCCTGGCCCGCAGCCTGCGCGCCGGGCCTGGGGGCTTGTGTGGTGCGGCCCCCAGACTCTGCTTCTGTCAGCTTCCACTTGGGGCTTGTGGAGGTCCATGGGGTCCCGTGGTTACAGGGTCCCTGTGTCCCAGGGGCGGGGCGCAGGGGTCCTTGACCCCTGGTGGTCATGGTGGGCCTCCCTGGGTCAGCGTGGCTGGCATGTCATGTGGCTTTCCTCAGCTTTGGTCTCGGGCCCTTGGGCTTTTCCTCCTGAGCTCAGCTTTTGTCGGGGGGTGTTGGACTGTCTCCTCTGATGCTGGGAGTGGTTGTGGAGGAGGATGCCTGGCGTTGGCACCGTGGGGTGAGAAGGAGACGTGGCAGGTACCCCCCACCCCGACCTGTTCTTCAGGGATCAGGCCTGACAGCAGCACAGGGTGGGCCGCTTTGAAGGCCTGATGACATTTCTGGAAAAAGTTTTCATCTCTGAATTTGTGGTCTTAGTTGTTTCCTGCCGACCCACTCGATGGAGTGAAATCATAACATGAGCACTTGGACTGTGGGGCCCTCTCTTCGAGGGTCACAGAGAGGTGCACCCCAGCACGGCTGCTGGCCCCTGCCCGCGTGCTCTGCAGAGCCCCAGACTTAAGCCTGCCGTCTTTGCTCTGGGGGCTGGGACCCGCGGGTTCACGCCCCCGGCCGTGGCAGTCTCCGTGAGGGTGATGTGACCAAAGGTCCTGGGTCGCCTGGAACCTGTGGGCAGCCTAGATGCTGGGTCCTGCCTGCCTCTGTTCTAAACCTGCTTCTAACTTGGCATACCACTTAGCGGTTGGATTCTGTTAGAATCTGCCAAGCTGTGAGGAAGAACCTCTTAGTTGAGTCTCGGAAATGGATGCTTGTCTTCAGACCCCTAGATGTGGTTTTCCTAGGGCATCTCCCCCAGCTGAAAGCACTTACTCGTGCTCAGACACAATGTTGCTGATTTGTGAGAACTTCTGCCACTTGCCTTTCCAAGGCCTCAGTCTGGGGGGCACAGGCTGGTCCTCCTGCCGGGCGGGGACTGCTTTGTCTTCTGAGTGGTTCATAAGACAGTGATGGGGACGCCCCCCCTCCCCAGGTCCCCCTAGGTGCCAGCCCCAGGGATCTGGGTCTCCGGGAAGCCAGGGTCAGGGACCAGACAAGGGAGTGTCAGAGCATGGGTATTGGTGGGGGCAGGGAGGGGCCCGGATGCTGACCCGACAGCTTGAGAGTTGGGATCTCAGGTTGGTGCAGGGGCACGTTGGCCCAGGCCCCACGTGGTATGCGGTGGTCTCCAGCAGCCCTGTGTGCCCCCATCTGTGAGCTGGCGCCAGGTTGAAAGAGCCACTGCCCAGGACACTGGACCATAGGACTTTGGGAGGTGGGGACCAGGTGGGCCTCAGGAACCACACAGATGCCCCCCTGCCCTGAGCCCCTGGGTTTACATACGGCCACCCCCACTCCAGCCTTGGCCAGAGCCGCGTCGTCAGCCCGGAATTGCCCGGGCTGCCCAGCTGGGAACTGAGGCCTTGCGCAGAGCAGACATAGGACGCCTGTCCCTTGCCTGGCATGGGGTGGCTGCTGGGAGCCCATTTCCCCCTGTGTACCGTGAGCCAGCTGCCCCTCACACTGTCCTCCCCTCCCGAGGGCTGCCTGCACTCCTGGTGGCTCATTCCCCCACCCCGCGCTGCTGGTCAGTGTCTTGGCACCAGGTCCTGGCACAGTGGGAGCAGGCTGGGGTCTGGGCCAGGCCGGGCCCCGCCCGTTGTGGAGTCCTCGCCACCGCTCACCCCGAAGCCTAGACCAGGGCATCCCGTGGTCCGGGATGGGGCCAGGCTGGAACATTCCCTGACCTTTGACAGGGGCGCAGCGCTCCTTTCCTTACGGGTTTTGTGTGTGAAACCTGATGCCCCGAGGGAGCCCCGTGGTGTTCAGTGGCAGCGCCAAAGGAACCCGTGAGCCCGCGCCGGCTGCGAGGGGCCGCCTGGTGGTGCAGGTACGTGCCTGGGTCCCGCTGGAGGCCCTGACGGCTTGCTTTCCTGATTTTATAACTTCGCTTTCAAATCATTATGGTACGATTGGCCTGTCTCTCATAACTGGAGAAACTGCAGAAAGTGGGTATCGGCCTGTGATCACAGGTCCGTGGTTTGCGAAGTTTCCAGTGCTGCGTTATGACCGTGACTTGATCCTACAGTCGTGAGAGCTTTGTGATGGTCCCTGTGTTAGTGGAGGGGTGAGGCGGCCGGGAGGCGGTCCTGTCGCTGCTTGGTGATCAGTGTGGGGGCTGTTACCCTGTAAATACTTCCTAGAGGAAGTACGTGCGACCTGGCCAGTGTGTCCTAGCGCACGCATAGAGGACGTCGGTGTGCACTGAGGGGCCACTCGTCTTGTAAACAGACCGTGTCAGCTATGGCAGGGACAGCCAGTCCTGCAAAGGTGTTTCTCTTTTTATTTTCTTGGTAACACTTTGTTTTCTGTAGCTTACTTTACCGGGGGAGGATGATGTAAATGTGTGTTGATTGACTGCCTGTGGGATGGGTCAGGCCTTTGGTCAGCACCGGCTGTTAGTCAAGTTTTGGGGAGCCCACGGAGGGGGCTGGTGCCCCTCAGCCCTGCGTTATTCAGGGCTCAACTGTGCAGGTGTTTGGGTCCCTCTTCTCAGTCCTCCCAGGTCTTGACTGAGGAGCTGGCCCCTTCCCCGCCGGTGCTGGTTCGGCCCCTCCCACGGCTTGAGGCCCTGCCCCGCCCCCCACGCTGCCGCCCCGGTGGTTGTGTGGGGTGGTTGTGTGGTTCTTGTCGGATCCCGCCATCCAGGTGAGTGCGAAGTGGTCTCTGGCTGCGGTTTTGAGGTGCGTTTCCCTGCTGCTGGGGGCGTGGCCTCTGGGGAGCTGCGGGCAGCCGGGGTGTGTTGGCGTGCGCGACGCGGGTCCCCCAGCAGACGCTGCATCTGCACGCTGTTCCTCCCGGCCTGTGGTTGTCTCCCCACGTTCGCGGTGGCCCCCTCTGAACCGCAGGAAGGCCTCGACTTGGACGAGTTCCCACATCCCCCTCTATCGCCGGCTGGTCGTGTTGGCGCTCGGCGTTGGCGGCGGCCGGGGTGGCGGCGGTGGCCGTGGTTCCGCAGGTAGCCCGTGGGCAGTGGTGGCCCGGCCCTGCGAACACCGTGTTCGCGTTTGCTCGGCGACGGCGTAAGGAAGCCGTGTTGGTAGGGAAGGCGCGGCGAGCAGTCTTCGCCCCAGCAGGCCTGAGGGGCCCTCCCCACCCGAGTGCTGGTCCTCGCGGCGCACGCGAGGCTGGGGCCGCCTCCCTTCACGCGGCCGCTCTCCAGCCCCGGGGAAACAAGCCAGGGGTGGGAGCAGCGCTGGAGTAGGGGCTCGGGGAGGGGCTGGCCTGGCCACGGGATCTCCCACAACCCTCGGCCACGTTTGCCTGGACTCCTGGCCCTCGGGAGGGTCTGCACAGGATGCGGCCCTCCCAGTGGCCGTTCTTCCCATTTGAAGAACGCAGGTGTGCGTGCGTGATTCCACGCCTCCGGCAGCGCTGGTCTGTCCTGTTGGCCTCCTGGAGGAGGTCGCTAGTGCACGCAGGGGCCAGTGACCTCACGCCCAGGCTTCAGCCTCTGCGGAACACACAGGTGCCGTCTCCTCGCTCAGCCCTGCCACTTCACAGAAGTCCTTCCCCTGATGTCACAACAGCTCTGGCTGTTTGATGAGACGTTCTCCCTGGCTCCTGGCGCAGAACCGTCTCGACTGCTGGGCTGACCGTGCCGACGAACACAGTTCGGTGCCAGGAGGGCCGGCGGACAGCGCAGTGCGGCCTCGGCAGGCTGGGGTCGTGGGGCTCTGCGGGAGAGCACGTACCCCCAGCTTGGTGTGAGCTCCCCGGGGTGGGGGGCCCTTGGCGTACCCAGGAGGTTGGGACGTGGCCCCTCAGGCTACTGTCTTGGAACTTGTGCCTGCTCTGTGGTCTTCAGTTGTGCAGAATGGGGGCCGCCGTCCTGGAGGGGCTGGTGAGCCTCCCGGTACCCGACTGCCTTCCTGATGCGCGTCTGCCCCGGACACAGCCGTGCCGCCCGCCCGCCGGGGCTCTGCAGCCAGCCCTGGCTTCGCGCACACTCCGGGTCCTGGGGGGACCGATGCCCAGTGCCATCCTTACCCGGTGGCCGGCGCAGGGCAGGCGTGCTGTGCTCCGCGAGCTGAGTTGCTCTGGAGCAGGATGAGGTGCCCTCGTTGGGTGAGGCGTCACCTTCACTCCTGGGCCGAGATGTGGCACCTTTGACGTGGCGGTGGCCTGGGCAGAGGTGGGACGTGTGTTGGCCGGGGCAGCCACTTCGCCGGTGCTCTGTCATCAGACTCTTGCGCGGGGCCTTGTTACCAGGGAGGCTGTTCAGGGTCTGAGCAGTGGCCTGCGGGCCAGGCAGCCGCGTCTTGGGAATGGGTTTGTGTTCCTTCAGGTGTTCTCTGCGTCCACCCACGGAAGGGGGCCCTGTGTTGGCTGATACGTAAGAGAGCAAATGGGAGTCCCCCCCCCCCCCCCGCCCCGTGGCACTCGGCATGTGCCGAGGCCTCCAAGCTGCCTTTTCCACCATCTGGCTGCGGCCTCCTTGGTGTTTAGGCCTTGTTTCTGGGGACCCTCTGCCATCTCTGTGCAGAGCCCTGCCTGCCAGCACCATGGGCCCTTGAGGGTGCCCGCAGCCCCCCTGGCTGCCTGGGATGACCCTCCCTGTGGGTGTGTGGCCAGGAAGCTCCACCCCCAAGGCGGGGCCTCAGGGCCCAGGTTCAGATGCTGCTGCTCTGTCTGGGGCCGGGGTGGCCTCCTGGACCCAAACACACTGCTGGGAGCGTGACCGTGGCCTTCCAGGGCTCCGGGGGGCCCCTCAGCCCTCCTCCCCTTAGGATGACAGACTGGGGATCCCTCCAGCGCCAACCAGCTGGTGTCTTGGACCAAGCCACATGGCTGACCCAGATCTTGTAGGATCTGAGACCAGGAGCATGTGAAGGCGGCAGGGTTGGGGCCTGGCCCCTCCTGCTCCTGCCGCGCCCCCAGCCTGGAGCCACACCGGGGCTGAAGCTGCCGCAGTGCCCCAGGGCAGCGGGACCCCTCGGGGGACACTGGGTGGCGGTGGAGGCAGGCGTGGGGCAGTGTTTTGTTTGATTTGGGGTATACAGACTCCCTCCGTAAAGTTTGGCTCAGACCCTGTGTCGGGGAGGTTCGAAGCGGGGACCATCAGCACCACACCGGCGGTGAGAGGGAAAGGGGCTTCGGTCTAGGACCTGTTGTTTGCGTCTAATTAGTAATTAATTAGTAACTAGGCGTTAACAGCTGGGTTGGTGAGCACAGTGTGGAGAACCAAGGCTGAGGGAGGCCCAGCCGCTGGGCCCTGCCCAGAGGGACTGTCCCTGCCTTGGGAGCCCCCAGTGGACAAAGTGGTGGGGTCTGCTCCCACTCTCCCGGGTGGCCTCTCTGTGGCTTCCCTTCATGGGCCTGTGAGGGACTGGGGCTGAGGCCACAGCAAGGAGGGGCCCTGCTGCCAGGCTCTCGGCCCCTCGAGTACCGAATGGTCAGCCTGCGGTCGGTGGTCAGTGGAGACCTATAGACCAGGCTCAGTCTGTCGTAGGGTCACCCCTGGCCACGCCTGCTGAGCTGCGAACGACATACCGTCTGGGTGCGGTCCAGAGCCCCGCATGGTTACGGGATCTGCTAAGTCCATCCCCACCGTGACGTCTGAAAGGGGCGTGTGTGCTCCTAAGTCCTGGGGAGCCTCTCCTGGGTCTGGGCATTGGTCCTTTGTCCTCCTGGGACCCTTGGCAGAGGTCTGGCCCCCAGTGAGCTGGGATTCCTGGGATTCTGCTCTTTGTCCCACCTGTGACCTCCAAATTCTCTTTCCTGATCCCCGAGGAATTGACCAGAATTCAGCCCCAGGCCACCTGTACGTTGGGCAGAAGAGGGCCTCGAGTGCTTCCTGCTGATGCTCTCTGCCCTGGCATTCGGCTGAGGCCTGTGACTGTTGTCATCAGCTTGTGCTGGGGCGGCCTGGGGGCCCACCCAGACCGGGCCGCTGCTGCTTGAGCTCACACCACCCGGGAGGCCTTCTCGCCACAGGGGCTCTCCCTGACCCTCACCTGGGCCTGCTGTTGCGGGAGGAGGCGGATCGCTCGCTGTCCAGTGCCTCCCTGGTTCCCAGCCCCGGCCCAGCTGCTGCGGGCTCTGGGACCCGGGAGTCTTTTCTTCTGGCGGGATATCCGGCCCCCGGCTTTGCCAGCTGTGGGTGGGGATCTGAAGCTCTGGGTGCACGGACGTCCACACGGTGGCTGGCCATAGTGAGGAGGCTGGTCTTCTGCCCAGGTCTGCACTCCCGGCCAGCACCCAGGCGTCTGCTGGGCAGACACACTCTCCTGTTCCTTTGGCCTCAGTGCCCAGTGCTTTTGGGTCAGAGGGACTTGGTGGCGGTGGATGTCAGCCCCGCCATGTGGCACCCGGGGCAGCATGTGTCCTTGGCCTTGGTCCACGGGGCCAGAGTGGGTGGAGCACCTTAGTGTCGTAGGAAAACAAAACCAACGCAGTCCCCATCTGCTCCGGCCGGCAGGGGTGGGAGGGGGGTTGTACGTGCACTCCCGGGTGCCTGTGGCCTTTGTGGCTGAGAGCGACCCACACAGCTGAGCTCCGAGTGTGCCGTGGCCTGGCACCACATGCCAGCGGTGTCCAGACAGGGCATGGGGAGAGAAGGACCCGCTGGGGGCGTCTCAGAGAAGGCGGAGGGAGCCGGAGGCGTGCTGAGGCTGCTGGCCTGCCCTCCACAGACGTGTTTGCTGTTGGACACTGGCTCCCTGTGGGCGCACCAGGGCTGTGGGTCTGATTCTCAGCGTCTGTGGCCCTGGTTCTCATCACAGGCAGAGTCTTTGGACCGTCACAATCAGATTCTCAGCCGAGGGCCCCATATCCCCCAAGTGCGCATAGATAAAGTTTGGGGTCCGTGGACCTGGGTGGAGAAGGTGACTTGATTCCGACCGACATAAAGGGACGTCTTTCTCCTGCGGGTCAGCAGCTCAGGGACTGTACCGCCCGCATGAGCTCGGTTCTGGCGCCACGGCCCTGGTAGCGCTGGCTCTGTGCGCACGCGGGGCCTGGCACGTCTGTTCATGTGCGGTGCGCACTGGCCTGGCCTTGCTCTCTCGACCTGGGCTCTGTGGGTGCGGTCTGTCCTCGTGGTTGGCTGTCCCTACCCCGGGCCGTCTGGGTGCATGGCACGTGGCTGTGCCCAGCCGGCCTCTGGCTGTCCTGGCAGTTGGGTGGGAGCTGGCCCTCTTCACCGCCAGGGTCACCGCAGAATCGGTACCTGAGCCAAGGGTCGTGTCTGCTGTGGCAGCCAGAGCTCCGCACGGACAGCGGCTCTGATCTTGGACTTCAGGCCGGTGCCAGCAGCATCTGCAATGTCTTTTCTCTCTCCGCTATGTCCCCCATGTACAGTTGTTCTTTCTCTTTGAAGATGTCCGGGGTGGTGCACAGGAAGGGGGACAGGGCAGGCCCTGGGGACCGATCCTGGGTTCACCCCAGGCCAGTCTTGGGAGGCAGGTGGTAATGAGCTCATTCCCTGAGAACACGTGGGGTACTGCCAGTGGCCTCTCTCGCAGGAGTCTTGCATCTAGGGGCTCCCAGATGCCAGGTCAGGGCCCACACCCAGGCCTGCCGCCCTGCTGCTGGAACGTGGGGTTCTCAGCAGAGTGGGGGAAGGGGCTCAGAAATCCAAGGGCCGCTGGTCTCGGAGCCTGGAGCCCTCCTTCTGCCCTGCCCTGCTTCTGGGCCTTGGCAGAGGCTGTCCTTCTGTGCGTTTGGGGCTCAGGCATGGAATGAAATATGGCCTTTGTGAGCATGAGGCCCCAGGGCTGATGCTAGAAGCTGCCCCAGCACCGCCCTGCGCCCCCTGCGCTGCCCCAGCACCATTCTGCTCCCCACTCCCCTGTGCCTGCTGGAGCCTCTGACAGATTGGACCCCACAGCCCGGCCCGACAAAAGGGTCACATAGTCAAGTCACTCTGAGGTCATGCCCCCAAATCCTCGTAAACCTACAGAGGCCCCTGGACAGGGTGTGCAGAACCCCATCACGGGGCGTCCTCTCTGTGCAGCACACATAGCTGCTGGAGGGTCCGGGTGCCTGCCTGCGTGCTCTCCAGACAGCTTTTTTTTTTTTTTTCTTTTAAAAATAGCATTTGTTTTTAAAAAATTGTGGTGAAACATAGACAAGGTAACATGTAGCATCTTAAACACTGCAGGGTGCGCTGCGGCGGCGCCCGGCCCGTCCAGTCCCTGCAGCCTTGCTTCCATCTGCCTGTTGAGTTTTTTTCATCTTGTCAAACTGAAACTCTGTAGCCATTAAACAATAACTTCCCTTTCCCACCTCCCTTCAGCTCCTGGTAACCACAGTTTTTGTTTTGTTTTGTTGCATTGTGTTTTTAATTTAAAATTCAGTGATGTAACATACAGCCGTTCTTGGTTTCAGAATCGAAGGTCAGTGATGCACCAGCCCGAGGGGCGCGCAGGGCTCATCCCGGCCTCCCGACTGCCCATCCCCCAGCGGCCCCGCCCCGCCCTCCCCTAGCGCTGTTTTCCGAGAGTTAAGAGTCTCTCAGTGAAGAGTCCCCACCGCCCGTCGTCCTCCCTCTCTGCTTTCATCTGGTTTTATTTTTCCCTCCCCCCCCCATCCTCTGTTTGGTTTCTTAGATTCCGGTGTGGGTGAGGTCAGAGGGTCATTGTCTTTCTCTGACTGATGTCACTGAGTGCAATGCCGCTGGTTCCATGCACGGGGTTGTAAGTGGCAGGATTTCATTCTTTTTGACGGCCGAGCAGTATTCCCCTGCGTGCAGACCCCGTCTTCCCTGTCCATTCACGTGTCTGTGGGCGCCTGGGTGCTTCGCACAGCAGGGCAACAGGGACGTCGTGCCGTCCACGCCCAGCCGAGTGGCTGCTCCGTGGTAGGCCCGGGGTCCTGGCGGCTGCACGTGTGCTGCGTGGGGACACACTCAGGTGTCCTGGCACGTGCTCTCGGCCCCGTGTGGGGCAGTGCTCTGCCCGGAGTCCTGTGGGCGGGTGTCCGCGGGCTGTGCCGTGGCCGGCCGCGGTAGCCCGTCCACGCTCTGCGGGACCCTCGGCAGGCTCAGCCCGAGGCTCGGGGGAGTGGGCTTGCCGTGGCCCTAGTCTCGGTGCCCCAGCTGAGTCCCGGGCCCAGGAGCCTGCTCCCTCCGTGAGGGTTGTGGGCCCCCGTGATCCGGCTTGGAGACCTTGAGAAGGGTCAGGAAGCAGAAGTGACTGTCCTTACCTGCTCGCTGACCTCTTGTGGAATGGGGATCCCGTGGGCTGTTGCGGGGGCTCACGTGGGCCCTTTTAGGGACGGCGGCCTTCCAGGCCTGGAGAAGCACAGGCTGCTGGGGCTCTAGGTCGCTCTCGGGAGAGGGAGCAGCAGCCCTCCCTCAGGGCCAGTGTCCATGTCCTGGCGAGGCTCCCTTCTGGCCCCTTCCTGCTGCTCTCTCACGTTCATAGAAGGTCCTGCTTTTGGGGTTTTTCCTACCTGAAGACACGTCCCCATCCTAGGGTTGACAAGCTTGGGGGGAGTGGGTGGGGCGGGGGAGGCTCAGGCCCTTTTTCCAGAGCTCCCGGGCTCGGTTTGTTGCTCGGTGCTCGCAGGCCAGGCCCCTGAGTGGGAGTCCACACCCCCCCTGCGCCTGCCTCACTCCTCCTGCAGACAGATGGGGCTGTGGCCTGTGGGTGCGGGGCAGGGGGTGGCCCTATAGCCTGAGTCCTATGCACCCCCCAGGAGTCTCCCTGAGGCTTCTAGAACCTGCGGGCACTGGTGCCAAGCCTGTGGCTTTTCTCTCGGTGAGAACTGGGCTTGTTTCCTCTCCTCCCTGCTTCCTATCTGCTCAGACAGGAAGCTCCGCCCGTTGCCCGCCCCGGCCACCCGCTCGCAGGCGGCAGGAGGTGTCCAGGCCGCACAGACAGACGTCACCGCGGCTCTTTCCCCTAAAAAGCACCAACAAACGGGTCTTTATTTCCCGAATGATTGTTTCGTGTCTGAGCAGACCGTCCACAGTCGTCTGTGGGCTCTACTCTGGAGCACCTCCGCAGAGCGCAGCGTGGGCCTCTGAGCAGTGGGCCTCGGGCCTTGGGCCTCGGGCCTCAGGCCTCAGGCAGCTGCTTCTCTGTGAGGACAAAGGCCAATGCGTCCCTGCACAGGGTCCGAGGTCCTAGTATTTACTCCCTGGGACCCAAGGCTTCCTGTGTCCCCGGAGTCGTCCTCGCCCTGCATGTTTGTCCCCTGAGCAGGGCTGTCAGGTGCATGCGTGCATACGGGCGTGTGAGGGGCTTGGTTTGGCCCTCTGCCCAGGGTCCCGCCAGTATTTGGTGACGATGGCCCTGGTAAGCAGGGTATCTCCATGGACCACTTGCCTCCCTGCCCTCTTCCCCCTCCCGGGAAGCCCATGTCCCCCCAAGGGGCCAGGTTTATGACACAGTGTCTTCTCTAAGTGTTCTGGAGGTGGGAGGAGCCCTTCTCCCCTCCCCCCATCAGTGGTCTCCCCTCCAAGGCTCCCCGACTGCCAGCAGAGCGCCCCCCAGTTCTGCTCTCTCCTCCTGAGTTTAGACCTGGGAGAGCAACAGCGCATTGTCCTGTTGGCCCCTGGCCCTAGGCGGGTGCTGGCTGCGTGTGGCCCCGGTGCAGCTGCCCTGGGCGTGGGGCATTGTCCATCTTCCACAGACGGCTCCGTTTTTTCAGGCAGAGGCCCTGTCCTCCTTGGGATCCTGCGCCATCAGGATGGGGGCGTTTGTCCTCCTGACACCGGTGCTGGAAGCCACTCTGACCACAGCATCCGGCAGACACACAACCTGGGGCCCCTGGGAGGCTGGAGGCAGCTTTGTGAGGCACGAGGAGAAAATGAGCGTGGCCTCTGTCCTGAAACCGCGGGAACGTGGTGGAGGGTTGTCACACCTTTCTCCTGGGGTCTTGCCAGATGGCCGCTCTGGCTGACAGCAAGTTGTCTGTTCTGCTTGGTGGAACCCAGAACTCTGGGGCCCTGGGTGACCCCCCACAATGGAGGGCCCCACACTTGGCCAGTGAGCCCGCCCACCGGGCTCCCCCCTCCCCATCCAGGCAGGACTGCAGCAAGAGGCCAGAGTCCGAGGCTCCCGTCAGCTCTGTGGGCACCAAGTTGGCAGTGCGCAGACAAGGCTATGGCAGGGAGGGGAGCACTGTCCCCTTGAGGTCCTGCTCGGAGCTCTGCCTGGGCGCCCTCCCCTGAGCATTCTGCAGCTGTGGGGTGAGGTCCCAGCGTGGCAGCCGCACAGGGCACGCAGGGGTGCAACTTGTCCCTTGCTGGGGGCCGGGTCTGCATGTCACTGTTAACGCCTTGTGCACGGTCGAGTCTGCTGGCTGGGAGACCCTGCCCAGAGCTAGAGGCACCAACAATTTTCATGTCTCTCACAGGTCTCCTCCGAGCCCCCAGCCTCCATCCGGAAGACAGATGACGCCTCCGCCCAACTCCCTACATCTTCTGAGAAGGACAAACAGTCCGGCTGGCTGCGGACCCTGGCCAGCTCTTCCAGCAAGGTGGTGCGGGGCAGGGGATGGAGGGGGGAAGGGGAGTGCCACAGGGGTCCGCACCCCAGCCTCTGATGACCTCTGACGCCCGGTGCCTCTCTTCCTGCAGAGCCTTGGCTGTGTTCACCCTCGCCAGCGCCTCTCCGCTTTCCGACCCTGGTCCCCAGCAGTGTCCGCAAGTGACAAAGAGCTCTCCCCGCATCTCCCGGCCCTGATTCGTGACAGGTGAGCGCCCTCGATGCCAGCAGGCAGTGAGGACACGGGGGCCGGGCTTGGGCTCTGCCACCTGGGTGTCTGTAAGCACCTGCTGGGCCAGGAGCCGCCTAAGGTCTTTCTCAAAGTGGACACGATCCAAGAAAGGCTGTTGCTCTGTGCATCTCGAGACGGGCTTCCCCCCTTTTGGGCGCTCCTTTGGTGGCTCAGTGCAGGGGGAATGGAGGGCCTGGAGTCCTGCGGTGTTTGTTCCACCCGCAAGCCGCCTTGTGCTGGCCCAGAGGCTCTCTGTCCTGCAGGCCTACTGTGAGTGCCTGCACATGGGGCCGCATGGGCCTGGAAGCAGTCTGGGAGGGGGGCCACAGGCAGTCACCACCGTGCTGGTCCCTTAGACAGGGTCGGGCTACGGCCACTGGCTTGCATCTCCTCCTTCGCACTCTCCGGGGGCGGGTCCCACAAGGAGTTTTCACGTGCTGGCCATGGTGGGATGGGGGACTTGGGGTGGGGAGCAGATGCCTGTGGCCCCAACGCCCCCCCATACCCTGCAGCTTTTACTCGTACAAGAGCTTCGAAACGGGTGTAGCCCCCAACGTGGCCCTGGCACCACCGGCCCAGCAGAAGGTCGTGAGCAGCCCACCGTGCACCACCGTTGTCTCCCGGGCCCCCGAGCCTCTGGCCACCTGCCTCCAGCCACGGAAGCGGAAGCTGACCGTGGACACCCCTGGAGCCCCAGAGACGCCGGCGCCCGTGGCTGTGGCCGCCCCAGAGGATGACAAGGACTCGGAGGCCGAGGTGGAAGTGGAGAGCAGGGAGGAATGTACGTGTGACTCGGGGTCCTCGCCTGCCCCAGGCACGGTGCCGCACGGCCACGTGCCGGGCACCCTGGTGACCTCCGCTTCCGTCTGTGTTTCCGCAGTCACCTCCTCCCTGTCCTCGCTCTCCTCCCCGTCCCTTACCTCATCCAGCTCCGCCAAGGACCTGAGCTCCCCCGGCGTGCACGCCCCACCCACCGCCCCTGCCGCCCCTGAGGCTGTGGCCCCTGCCGACCCCGCGAGCGGTGGCCTGGAGGCCGAGTTGGAGCACCTGCGGCAGGCCCTGGAGGGCGGCCTGGACACCAAGGAAGCCAAAGAGAAGTTCCTGCATGAGGTGGTGAAGATGCGCGTGAAGCAGGAGGAGAAGCTGAGCGCGGCCCTGCAGGCCAAGCGCGGCCTCCACCAGGTGAGGCTCCGCCCCCGCCCCCACCGCCGGCCTGTCCGTGGGGCAGCACAGGCTGGGCTGCTCTCGGCCAGGAGCCCCGTGCGGTGGCACGCCGAGGGCTGGTGCGCCTCCTGGGTGAGCGCGGGCCGCGGCCCCCGGGGTCCCTTGTGCACATGCGGGGCTGTCGGAGGCGGATGCGGCAGGTTCCTCTGTGGGGAGTGTGGCGGCCGGACCAGGTGGCTCCGGGCACAAGCGCGTGGCCTGTGCACACACGCTGGCTCCGAGCTGACTCCGCAGACGTGGCTGCTTCCTCGTGCAGCACGGACTGCAGGCCGGGGTGTCTGGGCCCCGCCCGCATCCGCCTCCCACCTCGGTAGCGCCCGGCCCCCAGGTCCTCAGCTTGTCGTGTCCTCTGGGCCTGTTCCCCGCAGAGCCCGTGGCTTGGGGAGGGCAGGCCTTCACCCTCGGGCTCTGCGGCCCTGCAGGAGGCCCCCCCGGTGCCCGCTGAGTTCACACCTCCACGGCTGGCGTCTGGCAGCTTCACACAGGGGCTCCTCGCACACACGGCTCCCGAGAGCCCCAGGATTTCAGATGTGTCTGTGTCAGGCACTCGCTCAGAACGCTTTCTCCCTGGTTCTGGGTGGAGGCGTGACTGCACGTGCCCACGCCCGGGAGCGCGGCTGTGCATCGGGGGCCCGGCCCTGCCTGGGGGGACCCCTGCGGCTCTGGGAGCCCGGCAGAAGCTTGCCCGCCGCGGCTGTGTGCTCAGACCGCAGGCTGGAGTGCGCTGGGACCCCATGGGGACGGGAAGGCCGGGGCAGCAAGGGGACGCCCCCCCCCCCCCCCCGGCCCCTGGCCCACTGTGTGTGCCGCCCGCTCTCCAGGAGCTGGAGTTTCTGCGCGTGGCCAAGAAGGAGAAGCTGCGGGAGGCCACGGAGGCCAAGCGCAACCTGCGGAAGGAGATCGAGCGTCTGCGTGCTGAGAACGAGAAGAAGATGCGGGAGGCCAACGAGTCCCGCCTGCGCCTCAAGCGGGAGCTGGAGCAGGCGCGCCAGGTGCGGGTGTGCGACAAGGGCTGCGAGGCCGGCCGCCTGCGCGCCAAGTACTCGGCCCAGGTACGGGTGGGGGGCCTCGTGGCGGGTATCTGTGGCGCCACCTGGGAGGCAGGTGCCCAGCGGCGAGGCCACAGAGCGCCCCTGTTGGCTGCCACTGTGGAGCGGCTCCCGGGTCCCGGGCGGGAAGCGGCCGGTGTTCTCTTGGCACCCGCGGGACCCACTGCCGGCTCGGGAGGCCAGGGGAGGGGCCCTTATCTGGGCTGCCGGCGTTGGTCCTCCACCGAGAGGCGGTCCTCCGGTCGGTCGGGGCCACCGTGTGGGAGTTCCTTGTGGCTCTTTCCCTCCAGACCAGGCCCTTCCTTGGGGATTTTGCTTGAGGAGTCGGCTCCAAGCTGGCCCCAGGGGTGCAGGGGGCCCCCAGGCAGCCCCAACTCTTTTGTCCTGGGGCCAGGGCTGCAGGCTGCCCACCGTGGGCGCTTCTGAGAGTCTGCACCGCCTGACCGGCCGTCCTGGCTGCCAGGAGTCCCAGGTAGGGGGGCAGTGGGCCCTGCGGCCCCCCTCCTTGGGCCTGGCCTCGGGGGGTCAGCAGGGTACCCCCCCCACCCCGGGCCGATGCTCTTAGGGTTCGCGTCGTTGCCCACCCGCCGGGGGCTCTGTGTGCCGCGTCCGCACTGGGGTCAGGCTGTTGGGCCCCTGTCACTGCCTCCCTTGTGCAGCTCCCACGCAGGAAGGGGGCCGGGCGGGGGCGGGGGGCGGTGCCGCTGACGCCCGCATCCCTTTCAGATCGAGGACCTGCAGGTGAAGCTGCAGCAGGCGGAGGCGGACCGTGAGCAGCTGCGAGCCGACCTGCTGCGGGAGCGCGAGGCACGGGAGCACCTGGAGAAGGTGGTGAAGGAGCTACGGGAGCAGCTGTGGCCGCGGCCCCGCCCCGAGGCCGCCGAGAGCACGGCCGAGCCGGAGCCCTAGCGCACCCCACCGTCTGCCGCCGCGGGGCGGGCGCCGCAGGGAGCGGGTGGGCGGGCGGCCCGAGCCGGCCGGGGCTGGGGGCTCTGCGCGCCGGTGGGCCGGCCCCGCGGCCACACAGCACAACGTCTTACTGTGCCTATAACCAAGCGAGTGTTTGGAACCACACACTTTTGGATCCACTGCAGAATTTTCTACTGGCCAAGTTCACGTGTGCAAGCGGGTTCCCAGCTGCTGCCGGGCCGGGTCCGTGCCGAGTCCGCGCCGGCAGCGGCCCTGTGCTTGCCGGAACGTTCTAACATTTACATTTTTGTTATAAGCTATTTAAAACCAATAAGAAGACTTGATACTCAGAAAAATCAACAGGTTTTTTAATGACTAACTTTTAAAAGCCCCAGCAACACGTGACGCCATGCGAGGACCTGCTAAGGGAGCCGGGGTGCGGCCGCCCCGCCCCGCCAAGCCATTGCAGCTCGTCCGCGGCGGCCCCGGGACAGAGGGTTTTCTCCAGAGTCTATTTTTTCAGCGACGAGGACCCGGGCTTCCTGTGCTGCCGCTGGGAAGAGCGGGGAGGGCGCTGAGAGCCGGGCCGCCACCACCTCCTCCTGCCCGGCTGCCTGGCGGTCCTGGGGGGTGGAGGTGGGGCAGTGCCAGGCCCACGCCGCCTCGGCTGCCCTCCCCGGGCCGCTCCTGTTGCGTCGGACTGAGGCGGCAGCGTTGGAACAAAACAGCATTACTTCACTATTTTTTTTTGTTTGTTCATTTAAACGTATATTTAGAACTGCACTTTGTCAAAAATCTTCCCTTCTCTTTTTATTCCCCAGTTAACGGAGGTTTTTACTTTTCAAATAT